GGCATTGCAATTATAAACGTTACGTATAGGATTGGAAGCTCTCGCACTGTTTCGCCGCATCGTGAACCAGCAAACTTTTTCAATTTGCCATACGTCATCCATTTTTTGCATCAATTTCTTCACTGCGCTGCGCTGGCTTGAACATATATGGAGAGCTGCGACAGGAATATTGACCAAGAAGGCGAGAAAAAAGATCGCGAGCTCGCCGTGTAATTGCGATGTAATGGACGAGCTATCGAACGAGCGCCCGCGATGTAAAAAGGCGCGACAAAAAAGTCGAGAAAGATTTCCAAATCCAATTGCGACGAAATAATCAAGCGCGTTAGTGTACGTTCAGCTCAGCTCATATTTCCTCTCGTTTGACCGACATGAATCGCGAAAAATTCGAGCAACTCATGACTAGCGATAAGCTTACCCAGTTCCTGTCCCCGAATATCGTGGAATAAAGACGGTCCATTCGCTTCTTTCCTAGCTTAAATAAGACCAAGTTTCGTGAGACTTGATATACCTGTTTTCATTGTCCATACTTAGAGCTACAACTAGCGCAGCTAATTTTTTTTCTTTCACTTTTTTTGCGATACGTAACAACACGATACGACGCCATCGCCGCAAAAGGGAAGCCTACTGCGACATGGCCGACTCTGCTCCTCCTGCACAGCTCCTTTCCTCGCTCGATCTCGGCCTTCGAGCAGCTCTTTCATTTATAATTAGAGCTTCGAGAGACTAGTTCATCTGCGCACGGCTTGGCGCGACCGAGCGACCAAGAGCGAGTTATAAAAAATACGAAGAAGCTGCTCGAAGGAAAAGCGCAATGCTGTCGTCGTCGTCGTCGTTTCTCCAGTTATAATACAGACCGAGCTATCTTTACCCGTACCTGCTTTTCTATATGTATAATGAAAGAGCTACTAATGCCGCTGAGAGGTTTCTTACTCTTGAGACGCCGCCACTGCGAGGCTGCTGCAGGTGCCGATGATTTTTTTGCGGATTTGACTGGATTACGATGATGATCTCTTATGTATGCGTGTGAACGAGGAAAATTTGATTTTTTGAATGTAAGATTAGGAAATTCGAATTTCAGTTGGGCTGGAACGATAACTCTACAGCCAATCCCGGTGCAGCAACATTTTTTCCTTTCTGGTCTTTTGATCCTTCAGAAAACAGCGTTGAATTAGGTTTTGATTGAATAGACTTTTCACACATATTATGCAGAGATTCGATATACTTACATCTGTTTGTGCGTATTATAAAAAGACAGCAATTTATTGGCTGACATTTTCGTGTGGTTGCCTTTAGAGATACTATACAATATACAAATGTTTGATTATAATCGAATCGCATGAAAATTTTATATATTTCGACTTTGCTGGGTGGCTCTCTTTCTCTCTACTTTTTAAAATGATTCCGCAACGAGTCTACTGAGGCACATGCATAACGAAACGAAATTCATTTATATTTATATCGGAAGCTCCAACGGATAGATTGTCGTCGTATTGATTCGTTCAATTTCGCATAAACACAGACTTGTTTTACGCATTTTATTGGATACGTATATATATGTGAAGTGTATATATGTATATATATTTGCATTTGGCCGCTGTGGCGCAGTGCAGAGAGCAGCCAATCATTGGGAGCCTCCATCGCAAGAGTTACGAGAATCCGTCGTCGTTCATTTATATACGCGTCATTTTTAGCGACTCGCTTGCTCGTTCGTTCGTTCGTTCGTTTATTTCGACGATATTTGCTTGCAGACAATATTGCGGCTGGAATATTTTATAATAAAAATAGCCAATGACTTGAGCGCATATCCTTAGTTTTCACGAATCTGTGGTTTGTTTTTGTCAAGAGGCTGCGGGGCATATAGGATTGCTGCGGACAGCTGCCAGCTCGTATTTAGAGAGCGACCGAGCTATAGAGGTAGAGGTAGAGGTAGGGCGAGAAAGAAATATAGCAACTCGAGTCGTACATCCAACCGGTTTGCTGAACTTGACAACGACTTATTTACATGAAAACGCAGTTCGCGGCTCGCTCCCCCTCCTAGATCCACCAGTTGTCGCGGTACGTAGTCCAAGTAGTGTAATGACTGCTCTCGCCTCAACGTACATTACGTGCAAGTCGTCATCGAGTGGCATGCACATCTTCTTCTCGTCAGCGACTTTCAAAACTGGCAGAAACTTGACTTTGCCGTATTATTCCACTCGTCACCGTGAGCAATATCAAAGATGTAATGGAGAAAAAATTTGCTTTTAATGATGGTGTTTGTAAAATGTAATTTTCGCTGCGATACGCACATCGATTTTTAATTGCGACGACACGAACGATAACTCGAACCTTCTAGTCGTCGCTTTCGATTTTATCTAGGCTTTATATTTATGTTATGAAATTGCTGTCGAGCAAGATTTTTCCTCGAGACCGAACGAGCCGACCATTCCTATATAAACCTGTAGCGCTGCAGCAGTGTACATAGTCGAGTGACGCAGCAAGCGGAGTACATGCGATGTAGGACAGAAAAAATCAGGACGTAGCGACGAGGACAAAACAGTAGAGTGGAGCAGTCGACTCTCGCTTTACCGCGTTACTCTCTCTCTCTCTCTCTCTATTTATAACCATTTACTTTCTGTCTCGATTAATTTTTATGCTTTCTTTTACTTGAACTACGCAGACGCGATAACGATTTTGGAACAAGGGAGAGAAAAAGGCAGCTATTTGTTCTTGTGCAGAAAAACAGTTTATTTCGAGGTCACGAGTTTCGATAAAAATGATTTTTCAAAATTTCTAAATTTAATACCGGAATATTGCGATAGCATTTTCTGTATCCAATATTGCAGAGGGTTGCGCCTCCCCGCGCCGTTGCACTTACCATCAAATAATCGAAATGCGCCAATATCTCGCTACAATATGTATCCGGCAATGCACCTATATATGCTACATGTAGAGATCATCAGCGAAAAAGGGAAATGCGGGGTTGCGCAGGAGGTACAAAAAGGGGAAAGAGCTGGAAGGGGGACGGGCAAAAGACTAACGGCAGCATAGAGCAAGCCTTTATTCCCAATCATATTTCTTCTCGTTACAGTTTCACAATTGACTATAACGATGCAATACGCTACCGGGACATTTGTTCGATTTTTGCTATCATTATTCAATCTTGAAATAACAAAACGCATCGTATCCTGAGACACGAAACGAAGACCAACTTGATTTCTCCAGAAAAATGTAATTCTATACCGATATTTCGCTCGTCTTCGCATTTCAGCATAAACTCGTTATCGTGCGAGGACTTTTGCTCTTACATGTTTAATAATTCGAATTTATCATCGTTTACATATTTCCCGTACTCGTTAATCATCGAGGTGTGCATATGCTAAGCAGCGCAACACAAGATCGTTAAACGAATTGAGCAATGGGAAAATCGGCATTCGATGAACAATGCGTCAATAAATAGCAAAATTCCGCATTCGATGGCCAGTAGCTCATGAATAAAAGAGAGAGAGAGAGAGAGAGAGAGAGAGAGAGAGAGAATGAGCTATGTTTCATCGCTCCCTCTACCATACAGACCGTGTTTGCAGTACAGGTGCTACGACAGTTAAACACTGATCGTCACATACTTGCATTTGGCGACGAGAATGATTGCCAGCCTGGTAAAGTAAGGCACGATTTTCAAGCAGCTCTTGTAATTGATGAAAATGAATAAAAAGTCGCCACCGTATTATGCGCACAGCTGGCGTATCGAGAGCAACGAGAGACCGCATCGAGCCGTTGACCTCTTAGGTAAAATTTGACGAATGATCGATCAATCTCAATCGATCGATAATTGATAGAATGCGGAGCACAATAAGCGCACTCGGACAGCAAGCCTGCTTTTATTAAACTCACGCGGAGCAGCACGAAGCTAGCGCACTTTAACGGTCGCCCAGTGCGCTCGCAGCGTAGCATAGAGCGCGCGTAAATGGACAAAGTTGGCCAATCGCGCCAGCAGTACTTAGCATTCGAATGGCGCTAGTTAAAAGTTATTTTTCGGATATACGCGTGTGCGAGCCAAGTTTGCCGAGAACTCGAGCTACGCGATCACTTATTCGCACGGATTAAGCTCCATTTACGCAAGATAGTCCAACGACCATTGGCTAATTTTTTCTCCTCTTTTTTCACTACTTTTGCAGGATGGTTTAACGACTGCGATACACGCGCCCGTCTGCAGAGCGTACAGATCGCTGCAATAGCTTCCTTCGCGTATATCGAGCGATTCAATTTCAACCAATCGAAGGCCGCTGAAATAACTTTGACGCCGCTGACTGTGCGTGTACAGAGCGTATGTAGCAATAATAAAGGCGCGCGTACAAATGCTAATGCATTGTGCGTGGTGCACGCGCTGAGGCCTACCCGCTATACAAGCTAGTTGCTCGTCCAAAACGATCGATCAATGTACACGAAATCGACTGATGTTTTTTACACTCCAAACAATCTCAGGCAGGTACATAACAAGCTCGAGTTAAAACAAGCTGCAGCTTAGACTGAAAGCGGCAGGCTATGCATGTACGAATACATGTACAGCACCTTATATCTGCTTCACTCGCACACGCACACACATACAGGCAACGATTTCATTTCCTTAAGCGATCGTTCTTTGTGCAAAGCTCTCTGCTGTTCTTCTCTCTCAGCCCTCTTGTTTCTTCCCCTCTCTGCCCTCTTGCTCTCTCTCTCTCTCTCTCTTTCATCCCTTATAACTACATATATACGTATTTTCCGCTTTGATTAAATGTACAAAGAGAGAGAGAGAGAGCTAAAGTTCAATTCTCTGCATGCTGTACGTGGGTCTTGCAGCGCGACTCTCGGGCTCTAGCACGAAAGCGATATTTGATGAAAAAATGAAATGGCCTGTTCCTGCCACTCACCGCAGCTTACGTGTCGAGCACTCTCGTCGCGGATACGAAGCTATTAAAAAGGATAGGGCTCCCTTTTCGCGGGCAAATTTTTAACCAGACTCTGTTTTTCTCTTGTGTTTGCAGAGCAGCAATTACTGATCAAGTTTTACAGCGACGTTAGTTACAACAGAGGCAGCAACATCGCCCCTAGCACGACCATCACTGACCTCAACGCAGGTACAGAAGACGATAGGAACAGCAACAGCAGCAGCAGCAATAATAACAACAACAACGGCGGCAGCGAAGAGAGCAGTGACGAGAACTTGGCCAAGTTCGGAAGTTCCGACGTAGATGCCGATTACAAGAGCGCATTCGACGAGCAATCGGAGATCAAACGCGATGGCCATCGTAGCAGCAACAGCAACGGCAACGACACCACCGGAGGTACTAATGCAATACTCACTTTGTCACTTTGTTTACACGAATAGAGTAAACTATAGGAGCCGTCGATTGTACGGCAGATAACTTGCTTAGGCGAAAACATCGATTCTCTCGAATTTATCGATAGAGACATTTGTAATTTCGGCCGGCGGGAGGAGCAGCAGCTCTATCTCGTTAATACGAGGTAGCAAGCTTCGTTTGACGCTCACGTAGCCTGACTGCAGCCGAGGGGGTGTCCTGGGATTCGTGTCAAAGTTTCTTCGCCCTCTCCGATGCCACTCGAGCTGCGCTGACGCTTATTGTGCGACTCGCTCCTCTCTGCAGCGACTGCAATCTGCGTCTATCTCTGTTGTTGTTTCTTTGGGACATACGTATAATAGGAGCTATGCGTCTGTCTCCCTCTCTCTTTCCCTTCCTCCCTCCCTCCCTCCCTCTCTCTCTCTCTCTCTCTCTTCAGCGCCAACTTAATTGGCTTTGCGCAATACGCTACGATCACGTATGGAACGCCGCAAAAGCCATTACGATTAAAGAGATTTTTCTCCCAGGAATTAAAAAATTTCTCCGAGTTTGTTCGAAAATTACAGATGAGACTTTGGGACTGCCTCAAAGGCTTATCAGTCAGCTGCGATGCATAATGGATTAGCGCACATGCATACGCGTACACATGCTTTGAAACTCGCTGCCAGCACTGTTGCATGCTGCCGCTGCTGCTTCGTTAGGAAGGACAGTTTTATTATGTATGCAAGCACCTGCGATACTGCACGCGCCAGATGTGGGCAAAAAATACGATTGAATTACTCCCGGCCCTGGGTGCGATCGAAGCTCGTATTATGTGCGCGCTCCCATCAAAGTATTAAAGTCATATATATTGTTAACGGGCCTTAACGATGACCGCGAGCTGGACTCTGCGCCGCGCTTCGAGCTTTCTTTTTATTTCGCTCTGAAAAACTATAATTGCACTGCGGCAAAATTGCAATACTTTTAAAAAAGTTGATTTTTAAATTGGCTTATTCGGTGCATGCCAGCTGCTGCTCCCGGACCAGGCAAATCGTTAACGCGTGCCCTATAAATTTTGCAAGCAAACCAAAAAGATTTTTTTCAGCTCGGCATCGACTCTGTGCAATGAGCTCTCCTTGGCTCCTCGCTTAGGACTGTAAAAGCAGTTGTAGCGGAAAGTAAAATTTTTAACATCCCTCGCACGTGCGACAAAATCAAGCGGTGCAATAATACTTCGCCTTCGACTGTATATTAAAAGCCGTTCTTTTCTTTTTACGATTTTATTAAATGTATACACAACCATTTTGATTTTCATTGCTTTCGGCAAATCTTTTTTCTCGCTTGCATAGCTCGTGCACGTGAATATATACTTAGTGTATACTAAGAGAAAGAAACCGTGAAACGTAAAGTCCATGATGATTTAGTCAGCTATTATTAAAATTATACGCGTCACGAGCACATACTTTCGTGCAGAATATAAACGTCCATTAGTGGGGCTTCAACTACGACTTTTACAATTTGTGTGTTTCCGAGTAATTGACTTAGACTACAGCGACACGTGCGCTGAAATTTAGAATAATTTGAATAAATTTTAATGCTGGAACTACATTGGAACGAAATTTCCTTTTTAATTTCCTCTCTGACGATCAATTTCCCTTTGGCCAACTTTTGTTCTTCTCTCCTTTTTTACCGAGAAATAATCCTTTAAGTACGCGTAGATCCCAAGAATGAATTATTCTACTCGTGCGGCTTCAATGCATTTTCGCTATATCTATTTTTATATAAAAGTCAGAAAGTTCATAAGTAAGTAAAGGTGAAGTGCAAATAGTTGGTTTTTAATTAAATTTCCAGTATCAAGGTGTCTTGCAATACTGAAATATAGATACGTCGGTGCATAATATTGAGACGCAGGTTGGAGAAAAATAGCTGAGAGGAACGATGGCTTTGGTGAATAAAAGCCAAAATAGCTGCAAGTTCTTTTTCCGCGATGCGTGTACATTTATGATAATCGCAAAGGAAAATCTAGAATTGAATGAGCTGAGGGACGCGAGTCAGTAGAATGCAGCCTTGGTATCATGCAATTTATCATCAATCCGAAAGATCAAAAGCTCGTCGAGAAAAATAACAAGCATTTGGTAACGATTCAAAGCTAGAATGGCAGTAGTAAGAGATAGAAAGAGAGAAAGAGGAAGGGAAGGGGGGGGGGGGGGGGGAGGTGAAGCCGAGGGTAGGAGGTAGCAAAGAGCAAGCTCTTTCTCTCTTTTCTCATCCTCGGAAATACATACATATATATTTCGTGAGAAAGCTCACTCGAGAGAGAGCGTAGAGCATGCAACAGATCCAATAAAATCCGATTACACCGTCGAGGCAAACTGCTGTGTAGCAGTAGTAGCAGACTGAAACTATCATTTCAGAGCTTCTCTCGCTCTCTGTTTCTCTCTCTCGGTGACTCGTTCGTTCTCTCTCGCAGCACCTTAATCCAAAGTCCTCTTCAGTTGCCACTACTGCCGTTGCTTGTTCTCCCCGAGCACTCGTTACCATTTTGGAAACGTTGTCGTATAGAATCTGCCATTGTCGTCCGTAGAGGCAGCGGACCTCTGCGCGTTTCATCTTATATGCGAATTAGCTGTACGCGCAAGTATAGCTGCACGCCCCACGTAGGATGGGTATGTATGTGCAACTGCGAGCATTGCAGTTGCCGTAAACTTGCCAAATCATGGCCAACTCGGGGCTCTCTCGACGCGAGTCGCGATCACTACGCATTTTTGAAGCTTCGCGGGGGATTTGAATTTAGCTGTGTCAATTTTTGACGAATCAGTGGATCCACGTGACGGACACGAGACTCGACAACTCGATGCAAGCCCGCGAGCTACCAAGAGTTTATCCCAGCTATCGAAAATATGAAATAAACGTATCTCGAGCGATATAAACCTATTCGCTTTCGACGGGATCAATGCCTGGTTGCTGTTTCAACGAATAAAATGATAAATTTTAATAAAAAACCTCTTCTTGCAGCTCGTTTTCCAGCTCTGGTTGTCTTACAGCTATTTGCCGCGCTCTTGCACCCATGCCTATTCTTTGCGTATATGCTCGAGCGATGAGAATTACTTGTACATGACTAGTACTGTTCAACTTGCATTGCTGCTTATTATTACAGCTACTGATGCGAGTACCAACACAAGTTCCCTTAAAGACGGTATGAATATGTAAATAAAAATTATTCTTCCGTTGCGTCTACACTGCAAGGTATTTTTATGCTCAAATATATGGTACTTTCGCATCAAAATAATAAGCGCTACTTTTACATGTCACCGAGAATCTTTTATTTTCGTCGTTCTCTCTTTTTATTGTCGAACGCACGCTCCACTGTGCAATTTTTCCGACTGCACGCGCACGCTTGGCTTTTTCAAGTGCACACTGTTCAATCATCCAATCGGTTTTCGAATTTTGTTTGGGCGAAAGACAATTTATTCTTTGTAAAATTGCGAAACGTTTTCGCCCCTAGCTGGTCGACTTCATGTATCCAAAACGTTTGAAGCGGGTAATCAATATAGATATTTATCAAGTGCGTATGCGTGCGCGCAAAGCAAGCATGCAATTTATGTACATAATGAGCATGACGAGCTGATTATATGCCTATAAAATTAATAATATTAATAATAATGAAAAATGAACGTTTTCATTTTCAGTATCTTCGACATGTACACAATATACGTACATACATTATTATGAAAAGCTCTTTCTGCGAGCAAAACTATGACGATAGCGAATTACGCTATAATGTAATAACGTCCATTAATTCTTCAAGTAGATTTTTTTAATCATTCTGGTGTTCACTATATGCATACAGCCGAAAAAATGAGGAAAAGTTTCCATCGGGTAGGTTGCATACATAGTAAGAATGTAGCTAAGCACGATTCGACCAATCATCGCGTTTCATACACGAATCGACGATCGCACGCACAAACACGTCGTAATGGCGGTACACAATTAGCCACACGACCGCGATAACAATTACAGTCAGTGGCTGGCTAAAAAAGGCATCGGGCGAGAAAAACACGCCGTAATGATGATGAGCGCTAATTGACGTATAGAGTCGGCGAGCAACAGATATTCCACATGCACACCCATGGCCGTAAAAAGTCATTCGATCATCGCGATCAACAAAAGCAGTAGAGCAGCAACTACATACGCATGCGAACGATTTAACGCGTTGCAGCAGTCACAAGTACTATTATGGACTCGACTGCAAGCAAACTAGTATATATGCGTGCGACCACGTGTTGCTTCGCTGCACTTTGTAGTTCGGTCACCGCGCGACGCTAATGGCATGGCAGCAATTGCAGGCGCGCGCGCATGCAACATCGACTTCGATTCAGAGAGTCCAATTTGATGCTCGAGCCCGAGTCGAGTTGTGAATTTCGCTCGTTTTTACACGCATCGACTCGATCAATCGAACGCTAGAGGCTCCAGGAGAATCCAGAGAAAAGAAGAGAGAAAAGCTATTCAAGACAGAATTAAGCCTTGCTCTTGTTGACGCGCCAACGTTGCTTCGACATTTTTCCAATTACCTTCTAATGCGCTGATTTCTTTTGCAAATTCAACCGATCGATCCAACTATTATATCCGATTTATGATATTTTCTTCCTTAAAAAACTCTCAAGCGTGTATAATGTCCAAAGCTTGAAAGCGCACATGAATCGTTAATTTTGCGCCGACTCTGCTAAGCGATTCTCTTCTTCTTCTTTCAAATAGGTCGTTTTCATTGCTAGAATTTCAATTGTTTTGATTATCTTAATTTCTAAGGTGTGGTAGCGCGCTCAGCTGTTGTATTAATGCAAACGGTAAAAGCTCACAGCCCTTGTATAAATCTGGTAATGTATTTTCAATGTGGGCTAACAACGGCTGTATGAGTTGCGTGAGAGAGTTGCAAGAACATTCAACCTACTCCAGCTTGAGCTTTTTTTATGTTTACGAGACAGAAATTTCTCGACGTTTGATATTGTAAAAAACACGTAGGCGCACGAATATGCTCACGAGAGAAGAAGAACTATCCTTTGCTCCCCGACACACAAGCACGCGTATATAACCCATATAGGTACAAACAAGTCGAGCTTTTTCATCGAGGAACGCAGAAGGTGAATCCGATGGAGCTATTTCCTTAATGAAAATTCAGAAGACTTGCGCACAGGGCACGACGCGCAGTCACTTTTTTTTTTTTTTTTGAGGACCCCTTGGATCGGATAAGATTGCTGTTTTTGACGAAAAAGAATATTCATATTGAATTGCTCGGAGCGCGCAGAGCACGGGCAAAGCTTAATGAGAATTACCAACTTATCTTAGATTATAATCCATAACTTTTAGTCGTCAAAAAGATGAAAGCAACTCTCGTGCAAACAGCGGAGATTAGCCAATGTCGCATTGAAAATATATGCGATTATCGTTGTCGCGACTCGCGGAAAGATTCAGAACGAATTACGTTGATAATATGGCCTGCTCCTATACATTTATTTATATTGTCGCAAAATAAGTCGAACGAAGGAAATGTAATTCCATTTTGGATTGAATTAAATCGCCGGCATTGAGTTCCGGTTCGAGAAAACTTTCTTCAACTTGCCTTTGCGATGACTGTCTCTCCGTCTGCGCCATCCCTCTCTCTTTCTCTTGCTCGTTGGTCGACGACTAACTTCATCCCTCGAATAATCCCATAAAACTTCCTTTGTGCCCCGTACGTAATTGAATTAACGATGAAATGTTCAAAGAGAAATCAATAAAGTACTTTGATCGATGATTATTAGAGCTATAATCGTGGATCGGAGCCGTTGCTGCGATGAAGCTCGCTCTAAGTTGATACGTATTATATGATTGTTTTAATATGAAAACTCGATGTGTTTGTTGCAGATGGACAGAGCGGCCCCCTGGACCCGTGGTCGATCGTCTGGTACATCGGCTCGTTCGGCGGCCTCGTGGCCTTCTTCCTGATCGTCAGCTGCTCGGAGTGGTGCTGCCGACAGGGCGCGCGACCGCTCACGGTGCCGTGCACGCAGCGCGGCGAGATCATCAACATGCCGCACGACGCCGTGGCCGTGGACCTGTCGCAGCCGCCGCCGCCCTATCACCTGTTCGCGCCGCCGTCCTACACGACCCTCGGCTACCCGGACATCTCGAAGGACAAGCTGGCCGCGCAGAGCCAGGCCGGGAGCGGCCAGAGCGAGAAGCTCGACATCTACGTGATCACCCTGCCGCCGGAGCAGCCACCGCAGCCGCCCCAGCAGGCCTCGCCCGCCTAGAAGCGGGTCCTCCTGGTGGCCAAATCCCGGCTGCTGGGAACGACGAGGCTACTCATGCTGCTGCTGTCGCCGAACCCCGAGGAGAGTCGACGGGCGAGGCGCCGCGAGCGCAGACACCGGAGTAGCGACAGGCGGATCGTCGACACCGACGACGACGAGGACAAAAAAACAGAGGACCGATTGCATCGGCCGAGTGGTGCGCGCTATTGAATCTCTTCCGAAGCGCATATCTTGCCGATTGCGCGAGTGTGCCTGTGACCGTGCGAGACTGCGTGTGAAAGTGTGCCTGAGAGCGTGTGAATGTGTGCCATCCCGACAGCCACCCGATGCATTTCCGTTTTTTCGCTTGGCGATTCGCGAGCGCCACTGACAGGACAGTGAAAAGCGAAGAGCAAAGCAAAAAATACTAACAGTGAGAATTAGTGAATTAAGAAGAAACAGTGTGTGTGTGTTTCGGACGCCGGTGCGCGCAGTGAACGAAGGACGAGGCTCGAGAGCGAGAGTGCCTGCGTCGTCTCGCCGCTACGTACGCGTGTCGCGCCTGCAACGAGATCGATTAGCCGACACGGACACTGACGCGGAGTCGCAGCGGCGCGATGATGGATGGACGGCTCGCGATTCGGGGCTTTGTGACGAGCGCCAGCTGCAGCTATTCGAGCTCGCCAAAGCAAAGCTCCTTATCATCCTCGATGCTGCATTCTCGACGCATACGCGCTCCATAGATGAAGCTCCAAAGAAAAGCACCAAAGTGCACCGACAAAACTCTACAACTATTTATAGATAATTATTAAGCGCACTAAAATATACCTATATATTTATAAATGAATAAGCATATTTAAGCCGACTTTTTACTGCATTATACATACATAGGATATATAGCATATATAGAATTTATAGCGTATGTAAATGGAGAAACTCGCTCATAATCGACTTTACCGATGCGATTTTGGCGAGGACTCCCTAAAAACGGCAACAAATTTACGACAAAGAGATAAATTATTTCTTCGTATTGTAATAGACTTTGCATTGTAATATCAATTACTCTATGTCATTTGTATCTAGAATACGTTGAAATATGCCGACTCTCAATGAACTGATATCCTAATTATGTAGTATAATATTATTGATATTAGCTTTTTGTTATAATACTATTGATTTATCAACATTACTGTTATTGTCGTCGATATATTTAGCATAAATCCACTTGTGTGAAATAATGTGTTCACTAAGACAAAAGATGTGGCACACACACACACACTTGTACACACATATTGTATATAGCCATTGTAGTCGTGAAATGATATTATTTGACATTTTTCATTTTTCAAAGTAATGTAAAAAGAGCCAATTGAAAACAATTTTAGCTTCTAATATTAAAATGACTAGTTTAATACGTGCTCAGTCTTTTTCAATTTTATGAACATTATCTGCTTTTGGTGAGTCAAATGTTGAAAAAAAAAAAAAAAAAAGAAAATGACTCGCAGAACTACACGAACATTAGGTTTTTTTAAGAAAAAATAAACGAAGACGAGTCGAAAGAAGTGACGTGAAAAATTAAAAGAAAGACACATAATTAATTATTCCATCGCGATTAATATTTTTGTCGCTCGAGCTCGTATAATACACGTCTACTTAGCTATAATTTTCATTGCGTTCCAAGATTATTAAAAAAAAATCTGCAATATCGTGAGTCAACTATCTAATTTCACCAAGTTGTAAAAAAATTGTTGACTTTGCTTGTACACTACAGATGCATTGTATGATGTAATAATACAATTTATAAATGTTAATTTAAATTGGTATCGTTATTAGTAGTAATGGCTATCTCCTCGTTTGGGTATAAGTCACCAATTCATCACGACTCAACATCTTAGAAACAGCGAGAAAATAATGCCGAGCAAACTCGTACAAACATATCATTGCAACAGCATACATACGAGTATAATCTTATATATTTGGAGAAAGAGAGGCGCGGGCGCATACTTTTTCTTTTTACTGAATCGCAGTTTCACGCGCCTTTCTATGTAAATAAAATAATGTAAGCATTTTGCATGGAAATAAAAAGATCGTTTTATCAAACTAAAAAGGTATGGACTGTACCGACTGCGAAGAGAGAAAGAGAGAGAAGAAGTCACTTTTAACAAATTGTTTTTCGATGGACGATTGATGAATATGCGACGACTACATTTTCCGAAAAGAATATCTTGAAAAGCCAGCAGCTCTCACGAGCGCGTGTGTCATCGATAAAATTACTCGCCAGCGATTAGGAAGCGAAGAAAAAAATACAATTTCAACGTGGAATACGACCTCGCGCGCCAATCGATGATGATTGTATTATGAATACTCAATTAAGAATTTATGGAGCTTTATTTAAATTTAAAAAAAAACACACAAAACATAAATATAGGATCGTGGCATAACAAATTACAAGAGAGAAGAAAAATGATTGACTCTAGATGTAGTATCAATGATATTTAGTTGGCTGTAGCGGAAAAAACGTTCTTGCGAGCTCGTGTCGGAAATGTGTATTTCTCTCTCTCTCTTTCTCAACCGAGCTGACTGCAGTCATATAAACTCAACTGGCTAAACGGACTAGTAGTACATCAAAGGGAAAAAAGAAAGAGCCTTGGAATCGACTCGTTACCTTCGTCCTCTCTGACTTTATATAAAAAAGTAGGTCCAGTCGCGTAAATCGTCGGAACGATCCTCGTCGTAGCTACGCGTCGCCCCTTACAAAGATCTGGAATTTGCGCCAAAGAGCTCGGGTCCCCCTGCAAGCATGCCCTCAACGAGCTTCCAAGAGAAAGCTATTTTTCACGCCCTCACACCTGCGAGCAGCTGCAGACTCGTGCGCGCCACTATAATCTTTGAGAGTAGTCGCCTCTTTTTTCATCGACATTCTGCAAAAAAATAAAGCGCGAACTCGTGACAAGGTTATGAATACATTATAAAAATATAAGTGTATACAGACGAGAAAACCACTCAAAGATGAGCCAACTGCAGCTCGAGCTTTGCTCGCCTATTGAGAGTCGCGCTAGCTTGAAACTTATCGCTTGCGAAGGTTGATTTGTAAAGTACGAGAAACGCAACGCCATTGATCGCTACGAGTCGAGTCGAGCTATTTTTAGTATTAAGAGCTTCTTTCAATCGTCTCAGCAACAATGAGCCAATGTCCAAATAATTATCTTTTATTCGCGAACCTCGACTACATGGTAGAGCAGCTCTTGTCTACGCAACGTTTGCCGAAGCTCGTCAGAAAGCCAAGGAAAAAAAGCAGAGAGAGACCCGTTCGAAACAATTGTTTTGTCTTTTTCTCTAACTCGTCGGCAGTCTTTTCCCAACTATCGATGCATCGGGACTGCGCCACTCAGCTGCAATTGCACGCACAAGTCAATAATAAGCTCGTAATGCCAAAGTTAGCCTCAGTGAACATAGTTGGAGCATCGATTTCCGTTTTCCAACGCATACTTAAATTCTTCTTAGATTAATAATACATTTATTTGAAAAAGTCAAGCACGTAGCTGCAAAGATATTTTTCGTAAACGTAATTTTTTAGAAATTCAGTCTTTTTTCGATGAATTTTAATACTCGGCGGAGAAGAATAAACGCATACCATTAGCATCGAGCAATATCGCGACGTTACTTTCAAGCTATCGGCGTCTGTAATGGAGCGTCAGTTAGATCTCGCGAGTCGCACATTTATATAAAAAAGGCTCATTCACACTTCGTCATTCTTATAAGGCTCTTTACTATAGCGAAATCCACTTCCCTTTTGTTAAAAAAGTACCCTAGGTCCGCATACTCTACGACCCAAAAAATAACGTGGTCTTCGATCTCGGGCGCATAACGACTCGGTGCCGGTTAGTACGTATTTTCTCCCTTCCCTGCCCGAGCTGCCTGAGCTGCATAAAAAAGACGCGAGAATCTGTATGCTCTTGAAGCTTTTTCTTCTTTTTCTAGTACATATATAGCGTGTATACAGCTGCGCTCGCGTTTGCGCGCAAAAAGAGCCGTGAAAGATCCTGAGACGAAAAAAGGCGATGCAAAAATCATTCCATTAGCACCTGATGTTATGATTTTCTTTGCTTCTCACGTGTGCTACTGGCAAAAATCACTTACTTTTCCTTGCTTTCCCTCTCGTTTTCTTTATTGCTACTTCTAACTTTGAATGCACATGTATGTAATTGAAATTTTTTTGAATTTTAGTTAAAGAAATAAAAGTAGGTGCTCTGAGAGAAATTCGACTTTCCCAAGATTCAAAACACTATTAATTATGATTCGATTCAACTCTGTATTAGTCTGGTTCATTTCCGCGTGAATTTCTCTCTGCGCACGAATATAAAAAGCAATAGATGGAACGTACGGAAAGTTCGCGCGAACACGAGTAGTCGATGATATGCTATACATAACGTGTACATACACCTACAAATACACGTACTCACTTCAACTCACTTGTCAATTGAAAATAGTAATCTCACTTTTTTTTCTCAAGTCTCAATAATCAAGGATTTTATGAGGGTTAAAATACAAACTCATATTAAACGTTAGATTGCTCTCTAATTTTGTGGATCGTATTGGCCCGAAATAGGACGCATGCATAGATTAGTATCAGAAACCAGTGGATATCACAAAATCAGATTTTTAATCAATTTTTATTGCACTGCTTGAGTTTACCGAGATATAATTGAGAAACAGACTCGGCTTAGTTTATAGCCGGAATCAAGAATGCAAAGATAAAACTAAAATAATTGCGTTGAGTTTGTTTCAATTGTGTGCTTTAGTATAATATATTAGCACTATAGTTTGTTTGTACATTTTTAAAGGGTTTGAGTTACCGAGACATATAATACAGAGAGAATAAAGAAAGAAAAATGTAATGTTGAAGAAAGCAGGATAAACAGCTGAAAAATAGCGTAAAAGATCTTCTCAATAATGTGTACGTGTCGTATTAAATTAAGCACGAATGTATGAGAAAATAAGCAGAGCTCTCTCTCTCTCTCTCTCTCTCTCTCTCTCTCTCTCTTGAGTTGTCTTTTACTTTGAAAAACTTGCCGAGTGATAGCCGGTATCAGCACAAGAGCTACACTCCTGCAGGCGCAGCTACATCATCTTTTTGCACGGAAAATATTTTTTTCCATCGAGCTGCGCGTTGTGTGTATTCATAAGCGAGAGAAGCGGCAGCAACGACGACGCCCGCACACCTACTATACAACGTCAGATTGAGCTGCAACGTACATAAAGCTCTAGCCGTTATCAGCTTAAAACTTCGATAAAGCCTTTACTCCTTGGCGCGCGCGACTTGGATTATGTACCGTCGACCGCTATGCAGCTGTAAAAAAAGAATTTGTAAACGTAGCAAGTTTTGAGACGAAAATGACTCACTGCTTTGGCTACATATAACGCCTACATATTATAATATCCTTGTATATAATTAGAAATCAAACGAACTTACCTGTAAGTGAAGTTCGATGATANAATGTAGCTGTTTAGAGTAAAAATATAGCGATTATTCTTATATGATATGATAATATTTTCATCTATAATATATAATGAAGATGTGTACAAAACATTTAATTTGAACAATTATTTTATTTTAACATAATAATGTTTAAAATTTAAACACAATCATCAATCAACTATTGCCATTGCAAAATCTGAACTATCATTAATAATAGGACGATTATAAAATCGAGCAAAAGCTTCCGACTTTTCTGACCATCCAGCTGTCCTTTTAATAGTATTAATATCAACTCCTTTTGCTAAAGCTTTTGACG